CCTTCCTTCCTTCCTTCCTTCCTTCCTTCCTTCCTTCCTTCCTCTCTTTGTTCCTATTTTTATTTTTTTAATCCATTGTAGCCAACTAAGTTTGTGTCCAACCAAGTTTTTGTCCAGATTAGCTTGTAGCAGTCAAACATTATTTTGTTGAATGTTCTTTAATTTTCTTCTAGTCGAGAATTAGCGGAAACGTCACCATATTATGAAAGTTTAAAAGAAAATGATGTTGAGGTAAGTAAGAGTATAAGATAAAGACATGTTAACCAAAAAAAGTTATCTTGCATAGATCCGGCCTCTGATTCTGAGATCAAAACTAAAATTTAAAATTGTTTTTACGGAGGGAGGAAAACCAAAAGACCTAGCAAAAAACCCTCTTAGCATAGGAGAGAACAATACATATTACATATTAGGCTCTGCACTCATACTAGGCTCTTGTACCAAAGCCTTGAATTGGTGAGGGGACGACGCCTTAGCAACATGACCATGGCCTTGCTAGCCAATAGAAAACATGCACACACGCTGTGTGCAGTTGTAATGCATGTAGAGATTGGCAGAACACAAGAGAAGTGTTAGGAGAAGCATGGAATGCAGGGCTATCAGTCATTGGTGTCATGATTACAAGCCAAATTAGTTTTAGCGTAGACATACTTTATTTCTGGCTAAACGTTACTGGTCAAAGTGACCAGCAAGGCAACAATTTGATTGGACAAGACCCAGTTCTGGCCAGACATTGTCCAATGTGGCTGCTATTTTAAGCCCTGACATTTAGCAGAGTGTTTCTCATAACTTCTCAAGTATTTTGTCAATCCTCAAGTGTCTTGTCCACACAGCACAACCAGCAAATTTTTTCTTTCTTTTTAAAAATGAAAATTAGAATAACCATTATTTTGGATATGAATAATTCAATAGAAAGTGCACATACACCATCAACCAATCGGAAAGCAGGATTTATAACAGTTATTTTATAAAAGCGTTTATTCATCATCAGGTATTGTTTACGTATAATGATCAAGATGATGTGGTGCTGCACTATCTGAAGAAGTATGAAGGCAAGGAAATCATATCAGCAGAAAACTACTTGTCTGAAGCCTCAGATGACAAACAAGCCAGTGAACCAGATGTTAAAGATGTTAATCCCAAAGGTAAACTGTTAGCTGATCCTGGTAAATATGATGACTATAATGAGGATGCATCATGATGAACATAGTGGTGTTGAGAGTACTGTCTTGGCAGGATGTAATGATGATGATGATGTTGATACATGATGATGATGATGATGATGAT